TACTGACTCACAGTGTTAGTTGTGGTGTCAGACTGTAATAGACAGTGTCTGGCAGATTGATATTGGCTGGACATCTGACTGATCGGAAGACAAGAGCAGCCATGACTGAGTGTCCCTGACAATGTGGCCAAGTCTGGCTGTCATGCAGCAGCCAAGTGCTTGCCTGGCAGAGTATGCTAATGGGCAGACTGGTTGATGTTGGCCAGGCAACTGGCTAGCTGGTTGTGACTCATAGGCTGTGCCTTGCTGTGTGGGCCTGGCTGCGTGTCAGAGTCCAACTGTGAGACAATGGCAGGCTGACTGACTTTCCTGGCCGGCTGCTTCCAGGTTGGCATGTAAACACAGCCCCTACCCTTCCCAGAACCATTAGAGAACTGAGTGGGAGCTGGCCCAGTCTGAGGGGACAGAGCGGCTTCTGTGGAAGGAAGAGGGAGGCAGGAGCTGCTAGAGGGAGAACAGGAACAGGCCCAGCCCTGGAAAGTTCTCTACATCATCCTTGTAGAAGCTGGGTCACTGGCACACGTCCTCTTAGCTATGTTTTTGGCTCGGGTCTTCACAAGGCCTCTGTTTGGAGGCAATGTGGGGAGGGGATGTAGGGGAGCCTATAAAAACACTGAGCCAGTAACTCACCGACAAGACTCCAATTATAGGGGATAGGGGTGTTGGGGTGGGAGTAGTCACAGGCCCTCCAACTGCCATTTACGGGGCTTGGATCAGGGCCAAACACTGCCCTAGAAAATTCAGGCCTTGTAATGCAGGGCTGGGGAAACTTAAGGGAGATGCAATGTCACACCTCTGTTACCCATGCCATTTTATAGCTGAGGAAACAGGCTCACTGCTGGGAAGGCCCAGGGCATTGTCTCAAACCCAGGTCAGCTGGGGCTGGGCTGACCCTTCTGGTCCCTGACAAGTGCCAGCTTTAGCCCTCTCCTCATCTGTGCAAAGGTACTAAAAATGGGCCTCCAGAGCAGTCACACACCTCAAGCAAGTCACCCCACTTCCCAATCTCAGTCTCATCACTCTGTTTGTTTTTTTGCTTGGCTTTTCAAGACAGGGTTTCTCTGTGTAGCCTCGGCTGTCCTGAACTTGCTTTGTAGACCAGGCTGGTTTTGAACTCATGAAGATCTGCCTGCCTCTTGCCTCGGGATTAAAGAAGTGCACTAGCATGCCCAGTTCAGTCCTATCATCCTTGAAAGGGTTAATTTTAGGATGCTATTGGCAGAACTCAGAGTGAGTGCATAGGGGCCTCTCCCTTACTGAATATGTGCCTCAGTTTCCTCGCCCACAAAAAGAACATCAGTCATGGCACTTCTTCTGTGAGCCTGTGGTGAGAGGAAAACTTACTCCAGATGCATTATTTTTCATCTTTGCTGTGACAGAATACGTACTAACAGCTTAAGTGAGGAAGCGTTTATTTTGGCTCCTGGTTCAGAAGATTGAGCCTGCCATGGTAGGGAAAGCATGGCCAGAGTATGGTAAAGCGGCTCCTTACTCTCTCTCCACAGTCAGGAGGCAGAGAAAGGAAAATGCTATTGGGCAGTTGCTTTCTTATTCATTCCACAATTCCAGTCCATAGAGAGGTGCCACTAACATTCAGGGTGGGTCTTTTGTCAGTTAATCCTACCTGGGAATGCCCAGTGGTATGTCTTCTAGGTAATTCCAAACCCAGTCATGTTGACAAGAAAAATTGTCACACTAGAAAAAGCTCAGTGCCTGGCCCAGGAAATTGTCAACTTTCCACAATTAAGACTCATCCCAAGCCTGGTGCGGTGGCCTACACCTGTAATTCGAGCATTCTGGGAAGTAGAGTCAGGTGGATCTCTGTGGATTTGAAGCCAGCCTGGTCTACAAAGTAAGTCCAAGATAGCCAAGGCTCCACAGAGAAACCCTGTCTTGACAAACAAGGAAACAAACAAACAAAAAGACTCATCCCTCTAGAGGTCCATCAGAGTTATTGTCTCTGGGAAGCCATGATGCATCCCTCAGTGTAACTGCTGTCCTTATAAAAGGGGACATTTATAAACTGGTGCAATGCACTCACCTGTAACTCCAGCACTCAGGAGAAGGAAGAGGAGGGACAGGTCAAGGTTATCCACAGCATAGTGAGTTCAAGAATTCAAAGCCAGCCTGGAATCCAGAAGGCTGAAACAAACACAAGACACAGAGCCAATCAAACAAAGGCACAGGTGAGTGGACATTTAGATAGAAGAAGACAGTGTGAAGTCACGGGGACAAGATGTCCATCTATGCCACAGGAGACTGGCCTAGGACAGCTCCTTTCCTGTAGCCTCTTGGGACCCAGCCCTTCTGTCAGACTTCAGCTTCCAGAAGCAGGGACAATTGATGACAGCTGTGTTTTTTAACCACCCAGGTTTCACAGCAGTCCTGGCGAGTAAACACAGAGGAAGGCAGAGAGCCTCTTCAACCTCAGACAGATCAAATGAGACTGGCCTGAGGCCTCTTTGGGCCCCAGAGGGCAGGTGGCTACTCTTACTACCTCATAGGCTCCCAGAGCTCTGTCCACCAGGGACTCTGTTCTGGTGAAGCGGAGGTCAAGCAGATCAAATGTGAATTCAATTATGGCTTGCAGAGGAGCACATGAGGTCACAGGCAAAATGACAACAGGGACAAAGCCAGGACTTTGCTGTGACAACTGTGCTGGGAAAGTGGTAAGGCTGCCTCCAAGGCAGCAGAGCAGGACGAGGCCTGGCCTTGTCACAGAGAAGAGAAAAGTCAAAAAGAGATGGGCAGCCGGCCTCTGTAATCCCAGCAATCAGGGAGGCAGAGACAGGCGGATCTACAAATAAGAGTCCAGGACAGGCAAGGCTACACAGAGAAACTCTATCTCCAGGGGTTGAGGGGATATGGGGGAATGGGATGGGCCTTGAGAGGAGATATGGTGGCTTGCCCAGCTTGTAACAACAGCACTAGAAATGCTGAGGCGGGAGCATCACACTAGTTCTCACTCTGAGGCCACAGAGTGAGAGTCTGGGTGAAACCTGGGCTACAGAGTGAGTGTGAAGCCAGCCTGAGCTCCATAGTGATAAAGACAGCATGAGATGCGCTGTGTTAGGCTAGCTAAGAATACAGCCTGAGTCTCAGGCCAGCTTGGGCTACACAATATGAGACCCAGTAGGGTATTGTACGTGGCTGTTCCCACATACCAGACCACATGTGGCAACCACAGCTCTGTACAGCACATGGGAACTGAGACGACCGTGAATCTGTTCGCTATTAAAATTGGTCTAGTTTTCCCCTCCATTTAGCTGAGAAAGCTCACGTTACACAGAAAGGTTAATTACCCCCAACTTCCAAAGGTCCCCTGTTGCAAGCTTTGGATTCATTTTTTCCAGGAGGATCCCGTGAATTCCACATTTAAGGGCGTAGGCTTAGTGAAATTGCTCTCTGGTTCTGACAGACCCCAGATGTAGGTGCCTCCCAGATGGGCCATGCAACTGAGACTACCCAGACAGCACTTCAAGCATGTATAGCGTGGGCTTGCTTGGTGTTCCTCAGCGTGTGTGTGTGTGTGTGTGTGTGTGTACGTGTGTACGTGTACTGCATGCTGGAGAGAAGAGAGCCTCTGCTGCTTTCCTCAGGAGCTGTCCACATTTTTTTTTTCTCTTTGACAAAGTCTCACTGTCCTGTTGCTCAGCAGCTCACCAAGTAGGCTAGGCTGGCCGGCCAGCAATACTGACCCCACGCCCCTGCCCCCTCAAGCAACCCTCCCATCTCTTCCTCCCCAGCACTGGGATTACAAATGTGTGACACCATGCCCAGCACTTTGATTTATCTTTCTGCGTTTCGTTCCCACTGTGTTCACTGCAAATGCATGGGTTTTTGCACATTGTTCTTCTAACGTGCAGCCTCCCTAAACTTGTTGCCATGTTTGTTTGCATGACACGGTTGGGTTTATTTGTTTTGGGAATGCTTTGGACTTTGGATGTAAAAGATGAAGTCATGCTTAAGGACAGACAATGTTACTTCCCCCCCCCCCCATCTGGATGGCGTTTATTGCATTTTCTTACCTGATTTCCTGGCGAGAATCCTAGCTGAGATGAAGAGAATTGGTGAGAATGGGCCTCCTCCATGCGCTGGTCCTGAGTCTTTGATACCAGAGTGATGCTGTCTGTGGGTCTTACGCAGATGTTCTTTGTCAGGTTTTGAAAGTTTCTTACCATGTGTAGCCTATTGCACTATCAGGAAAGTGAGTATTAGTTAAACAAAAAACAAAAAACAAAAAACAGATCTTAATACTTTCAGGTAAAGATGGATTTTCCTTTGTTTCATGCCTAGTGCCTGTGAAAGCCTTGGGCATCAGATCCCCTGGAACCGGAGTTACAGATGGTTGTAAGCTGCCACGTGGATGCTGGGAATTGAGCCCTGGTCCTCTGGAAGAACAGCCAGGGTCTTAAGTATGAAGCCCTCTCTCCAGACCCTGTTTATTTTTAAAGCAAAGCAAAACAAAACAACAAAATAAAACCACAGATCGGGGGGAAAAGGAAGTGAAACACTGAGAAAATAGTTGAAGCTGGAAAATAGATGGTGTGGGTCACCACTGCCTTGAGGAAGCCAAATACCAAACCAAGTTGCAAAAAAATTAAGAACCAACCAAATTCCCCATAAGGCCAGCAATCTGTGGATCTGTAGATCTTGCAGTTCTAGAAGGGGAGGAGAAGGTTGGAGAGAATGTTCGGATCTGATTCTTGGGCTTAGACCCCCACAGCCCACTGGCAAACAGAGTGGGTTTGAAAGCTCACTGATGCTACCTAGAGAACGATGTGCCAAAGTAAGATGCATCTGTGGACAAGAGGCAGGGTCTTCAGCACATTCTGGTGCCTGCACAGCATACTCAGCACAGCTTGCTGGTCCAAGAGAGCTCAGGGAGGCCCTTCTCTAACCTGCCCTACTTACCTAATGATTAGCTACTTTTCTCATGACTATGATAAAACAGCAACAACCCGAGGAAGGGAAGACTCATGCTCACGGTTTGGGGGAAGTCCATCCTGGAAGGAGTTTAAGGCAGCTGGCCACATGTGTCTGCAGCCAGGGGGCCAGAATCAGAGGGATACCTTTCTCCTTTGTGTTCATCCAAGACCCCAGACACAGGATGGTTCCACCCACATCAGAAGCTCCCTTACAGACAAGCCCAGTGTGGTGTTTCCATGGTGATTCAGAATCTTAACACATTGACAATCAAGATTATCATACCTACGGACAGTCTCTAAAACAGGCCTGGATTGTCAAAAGTCCCTTGCCTGAGAATCTTATTCAGCAGGTTAAAGGGAGTAATCATACCACCGGGGAAATCTGAAGGTTGACACCACAGACTTTGCTTTGGGCTGCCACTATACCCATGGGTCCTGCTTTGTTTTGTAGAGGTTTCACATAGCCCAGACTAGCCTAGAATTCAGTCTATAGTTGAGGCTGGCCTTGACATCCTGATCCTCCTTGCCTCCACCTCCCAAGTGCTGGGATTACAGGCATACACCACCACTCCTAGTTCTGAGGGACAATCTATATGACTGGACTGACTCTATCGACAGAACGACACAACGAGCACCCCTGCTCACTGTGTTGCTCCCCTCATCTTCCCATAGCGGTCTTCAGTAATTCCCTGAAGCCCAAGCCTGTTCCTTATAGCTACATAAAAATCAGTCATGAGGTCCCTCTTGGAATGTGTTTGCTGTCATACTCCCATACATAAGCATGGTGTTAAAATAGATTTTCTTCTTTAATCTGGCTACTGAGTTTGTTTTATGAACTCAAACATCAAGAGGGCAAGGGATGATTTTCTTTAGCAATTTTTTTTTTTAATTGATTTTTCAAGACAGGGTTTCTCGTTGTAGCCTTGGCTGTCCTGAAGCTTGGCTCTGTAGACCAGGCTGGTTTTGAACTCATGAAGATCTGCCTGTTTTTATCTTCCAAGATCTGGGATTAAAGGCATGAACCATCATAGCCTAGTCAGGATTAACTAATATTTCTCCCTCTCCATCTACTCAGTGGCAGGTACAAAAGCGGCAACCATTCTTGAACCTCCTAACAGAAGCACTTGGAGAGACAGACAAAAGACAGACAAAAACAGGGTCCTTCTGAGACCTCGGATTTTGATGCTGAAATACCCATTGAATTTGCATGTCACCCCAACTCCACTATTTTGCTAACATTCCCACCTTCCCCTGGGGTAAGGCAAGCCCCACAGAGCCACCTGCCTTCATGGTGGTGGGATTCCCCAAGACTAACATTTCTTCCCTTTTGAAGCAGTCTTCAGAAGTCAGGTCTCAGGTGGCAGAGGATTTTCACAGGCAATGAGGTGGACAGTCGTGGCCCGGGGCCAGCATCTCTCTCACCTGCTGTCAGGAAGGCTTGTGGAGTGGGGAAGGACTCACTTAAGCTGCAGTCTGACCAAAAGGAGAGTGTCCAGAGGGCCTCATTGACAGCTCAAGAGAGCAGACAACCAGCATATTCTGAACATCTGCCAGGAGGCAAGAATTCAGCAGGTCATAAAGCCTCGCAAATATCTGACCACCCCACAAAGCAAAGATCACAGAGATGTAGTGCTTTCCTCCATGTACTTGGGCTGGACAAGTTTGCCTTGGCTCTGTTCACTAAAGCCTTCCCCAGCATCATATAGTTTATTACAATTTATTCAGTTTGTATGCCTGCTGTGGCCCCCTCATCTCCTCCCAATCCCCCTCTCCCTTCCTCTTCTCCCCCTATGCCCCTCCCCTAGTATCCTTCTATTTGACCCTAGCCTATCAGGTCTCATCAGGATTGGTTGTACTGTCTTCCTCTGTGGCCTGGCAAGGCTGCACCCCCCAGGGGGGAGGTGATGAGAGCCTACCACTGAGTTCATGCCAGAGAAAGCCCCTGCTTTCCTTACTAGGAACCCCACTTGAAGGCTACATCTGAGCCAGGGTTTTACCAGAAGCAGAAAGACACACATGGTATACGCTCACTCATAAATGGATATTAGCCATGTAATATAGGATAAACATGTTAAAATCTATACTCCTAAAGAAGCTAAACAAGGAAGACCCTGGAAGATGCTCAATCCTCATTCAGAAGGGCAAATGTGATAGACATCAGAAGCAGAAGACAGGGAATAGGACAAAAGCCTACCACAGATGGCCTCTGAAAGACTCTACTGATCGAGGTAAGGAAGCAGAGGCTGAGACTGAGCCAAACTTTGGGCAGAGTGCAGGGAATCTTAATGAAAGAAGGGGGAGACAGAAAGACCTGGAGGGGACCTAAAAGGAGACCAACAGAGCCAAAAAAACTAGGTCCTGAAGAGAATGATACCCCAACCAAGGACAATGCGTGGAGAGCACCTAGGTGGTGGTTTTGATTGCTTTAAAACTAGCAGGTTGAAGAAATGGGAATGGATTTCTCTCTGCAGGACTTCTCCGACAATTGGATACTCTGGCAGTTACTGTTCTAATAAAAATCTTACTGGTGGGCAGGGAGGTGGCTTGGTTGGTACAGTGCTTGCCTAGCATTCATGAAACCCTGGGCTCAAACCTCAGCAACTCCTGTGGGTTAAACGTCCATGGCTCTATGATGGCAGGTACTTAGATTGCTAATTCCCCTTCAGAACTATGAAGAGGAAAAGAAGGTAAGAGAATGGGAGTTCTATTCATTCCCAAAAATGACATGATATCATCTTCAGGAAAATGGATGGAACTGGATGTAATGTTAAGCAATATAAACTGGACCTAGAAAGAAACATTGCATGTTCTCTCACATGGAGAGAAATGTGTTAAATTTGTGAATGTAACACACACACACACAAACAGAAGAGGGACCATTTGGGAAGAAGTTTAGTACAGGAGCTCTTGAAACAAAAATACAACCTGCTGCTATACCCAGAGGCCAGGAGACATGGAGGTTGAGGCAGACAGGATGGAAAGGAATACTATAAAATGATGTCCTTTAGACATGGCGTGGCTGTGGCAATCACTAGAACACAACAGTTGTGACCACCAGCACAGGCCAAGGGGTTGGGCAGAAGGGGTCAGCAGGAATGGGAAGGGATAAAAGTGGTGGGGGCACAACACACTATATATAAGAAACTTCCAAAAACTTAAAAACTAATTTTTTAAAAGTCCCAAGGGGCTGGAGAGATGGCTCAGTGGTTAAGAGTGCTGTCTGCTCTTCCAAAGGACCTGGGTTCAATTCCCAGCACCCACATGGCAGCTCACAACTGTCTGTAACGCCAATTTCAAGGGATCTGATACCTTCACACTAAATACACATAAAATTAAAAAAAAAAATTAAAAAAGTCCCAAAAAAGGTCATTACAAAACCTGTTTTGTTCAACAGATATATACTAGTAAAACCAGGAACACTGACAATCAAACAAAATATTAATGGGACAATGAACATCATTGAAAAGTCACACTTTTAATGGAAAGCCACACTGGGTATAACACTGTTGCCACAGAAATACAGAGCAGCTGTCAAAGCCACCCCTGGATTTCACTTATTTATTCGTGGCCTTGAACCAACTGGTCCTGCCTCTGGGCCAGGAAAAATAGTACCAGCTAAAAAGCACAATAAACCAATCATAAAACAAACTCTTGTATCAGTGAAGTAAGTGAACATGAGAATGAAATTCAGGAAAAGAAAACCCCGTTACTAGAAATGTTTTAATGTCACTTCGCAGGGCATCAGCTACTGACCTGGCAAGCGACCAAGGCCAGACTGCACCTTCTGTCTTAGCAAGGACAATATGCCTGGGAGGCTGACTTGCCCAAGACCATTCAATCCTTGGAGGTAAGTCTCTCAGCTCCATCTACTCCTCAGGAGTGACATCCAGTCAGTATCAGATCTGGTTTATGATTTATGGCTGAGTTTGACAGAACAGGGGCCATGTAGCCTGCATAGGTCCTGATCAGGACTAAATGATGCATTCAGGACTGCAAGGCCTTCGGATCAGGAGTCTGGGACTGCTCTTCAGACTGCAGAGCTCAATCCTGGCAGTAACTAGGACTCTTCCGATCTGGCTATATTCTACAGGGAGCCGGGTTCTTTGAAGAGTGAGGTTCTGGGTAGTTTTTTTCCATCTTGAATCCTCCTAGCCTCTTGGCTGGCCTCCTTGGATGTCTAGCTTCAGTTGACTCAAATGTTGATTCAGAAGTTTTGAGTGAGTTCTGTCCAGGACAGGGATCAAAAATGGGTTCTACATCAGGGGAACATGGGTTACCAGTGTCTGTGTTGGGAAGTCTGGTTATGGATTCAGCTTTGAAAAGAAAAAGTGATTGTCTAGTTATGTCTCCAATGAGCACATGGTGAGAAGCTCCAGCAGCCTATGTGCCTGCCCTGAAGGTCAAGGTCAAAGGCATCTGTAGCTGGGTCTGGTGGTAAAGGCCTCAAATCCTAGATACTCTAAGAGGCCAGAGGAGGAAGATCAAAGTTCAAAATCTGCTGGAAAACCAGCTAAAAAAATAAAACCTTAAAAAAATGGGACACAGCTAAGTAGTGGAACTCATCTGCCATGTACAAGGCTGTTGATACGCAACTGCCAGCACCAAACATAGGGCTAAGAAAGCACCTACACAGTAGGCTTTTCTCAAGTCTATGGTCCTCTCTACCTCCACTGTTCGCCCCTAGCAACCTGTAAATGCAGGACCAAAACTAAAGCCATAGAACCCAACACCTTATAAAGCCCCTCTAATCACCCCCTTTTGTGCTAGGGAGACTACCTGTGTACCTTTCACTCCAAGGTCTGCCTGGGCCCCGCAGAGACTGTATTCCTGGGTAGGCCTATGGTCTAAAAAAAAAATCAGATGCTTTCCTGTAAAACCAGACTAGGCCGTGGCTTCCTTCAATGTCAAGCAAAATGGACTTGACTGAAGGTACCAGGCTGCCTCCCTCCAGGAAGGTTCTACATCTTCCCTGCTTTTATTTCCATGGTGCCAAGGTCTGGGTAAAGGGGCAACAGGCTTCTTCTGCTCTAGGAAAGAGTTGGTTGTTCAGGCATTGTTCGCCTTTAACACCATTCCGGCCTTGTGCAAATCCCTTAGCAATCGACTCTCGTCACTGTGGACACACCTGGCAAGAAGTTCTCAGGTCAGGACAGCTGGTGTCCATGATGACAAAGCTGAGCTGCAGCTTTGTCCTCTTAGGCCATGAGGTCAATGATCTACTCTTCCTGCTGCTTTAGTGCTCAAACATGGCACACGGGAGATTCTAGTCACACAAGTGTTCCCATTACCACTATTAGTAGGCATGCCCACAAAGGGCCTGGAAGGCATGGGAGGAGAGGACAGAGAATTGTTCTGCTCCATCGGGCAAGCATTTCTTGAAGGCAAGACTCCATTTGCACTCTCGAGTGCCAGCTCAAGCACAGAAGCGGACGAGGAGTGTGAATCCGGATGAATCGTCAAGGTAGGCGGGAGCAGCAGCAGCAGCTCCGCACCCAGCACTGCTGCTGGGGATTGCCGCCTAGACAAGGTGTTCCACTCCACCTGGTCCTGACAGATTTAATGAGCAAGAGCAGGGGTTGTCTGAGGGCTTTCCAACACTTGAACACATTTCCAGTTCCTTCCTTTACATCACCACAGTCTATCTGAAAATCACACAGACATAATTACTTTCTTCCAAATTTTGATAATTCATTGGCTCAGTTCTTTCTTGTACTATGTGATCTGCACACTAAGACAACTCTAACTTCAGCTGTGGTAACTCAAGTACTGAAGGAAATGTGCTTTCTATCCCCCCAGTGGAAACATCTCACAAGTGGGGGGAAAAATGGAACTATGCTTTTTCTAAGGGCTAAAATCTATGGAACAACAAAAATCATCTCCAATGTAAATTTTACTATTTTATTTGTGAAAAAACTACAAGCAGAATTCATAAATAGACATTTCTATTTAAAGCAGGAAAATGATAAAGTGGCTTCTAATAACATAGTCGTGCACATGCCAATAACAGGAATATATTAACATCTTTTATTTGCTAGACAAAGAGCAGTGTCCAATATAAATTTCCCCCAAACATTTAAGACCTGTGAATTTCTGACCAGTTCACAAAACCACCGACACTTTAGCATGAAGAGAAAACAAACCTAACAGACTGTCAGCGCTAAGACGGACGGAGCAGAAACTTCCAAAGCGTTATACAAGCCATCTTTCTGGGCAAATGGAAAATAGAGCTCGTATAAGACATTAACAAAAGTTCACAAGGGAAGATTATGTTCTGACATACTTAACAAGCATTCGCTATCTGTCTCCAACAAACAAAGCTAAGGAAATAATGTAACCATCTTTACACAGTAAATTAAGGTTACAAGTCATACACAAGAACAGAACTGCTTGCGCGTTAGAAACTGTTCAGCTCCATTGTCACACTCTAAATGTTGGCTCTTAAACCATTTTCGGTAACATACAAGCAAAGGTTATTATATATTCAGCAATTAATAAATTCTCAATAATTTAAGATACGGTAGCTTAAAAATGTAGACTGAGAATGGTCTTCATAAGGCAGGCGAGACATCTTGGTGGAGCTAAACTCACAGAAGCTTCTGCCAATGTTTTGAAGCATCCAGATCCAAACTGAAAGGTTTTGATTAAAATATTTTCATGGGTGTCAAGATGTCTTTTTATTCCCCCTCCCAACTGCATGACTCGGGCAGAACATGTCAGGTCAGCTCTCGTGTGCACACGAGTGTGAAAGAGCATGTACTAAACATATGGGAAACTTGTAAGCCTTAACACTGTGCTTTTTGTTTTAATCTGCTTTCTGTGCCACTGAATACCAAGTATTTCTGGTCCTCTCAATGTCTCTTTGTAAGCTACACTAGTGTTTTTACCTACTGAGTACTAGAGTAGGGCAAACTGTAAATGCAGGAAGCTAACAGGAATTCCATTTCCAGAATGCATGCCTGAGGATGTCATCGTGTAGCACCTACCACCTCTCACCCCAACAGAGCCCATGACAGCTGAGCAGGGTGGCCAGGAGCATCTGATTGCTTAGACTCCACCACTGCGGTTTCTACCTCAAGGCAAGTTCACTCCACTCATCTGAAGCGGCCCTTCCCTCCCTTCACCTCTCCTCATTCTTTAATTTATCATGGAGGCAAAACTGAAAAACCAAGACACTGGCAATGAATGAATTAGTAGCCTATGAGGAGCTGGTAAATCAGCCTTTTCCACTAATCTAGGGGGTCCAATCACTTTACATGAAACTCATTTTGAAAAAGTACACAGTGTTTCTGAACAAAGTGCATACCAACACTTATTGGTTCAAAGAGCAGTGCAATCCACATGAATTTGGTGGCATTAAATTTTTTTAAAAAGTTAATTAAAAAACTTAGCAATTCCTTACACCTCTGGAAAATAAATATGGCTGACTAATTAACCCTCCCTGAGACCCTTAATAAAAGGAATATTAAAACTTTAGAAGGAATGTCTTTGCAATACCCCACTAATATTAAAATGTGGATTTAAAATTCATAGTCAAATCACTATGTATTATATATTCTGATGCTTACAGAAAGCACCTGATTTCCTTTGGTTCATTAATAAATACTTTAAAAAGGTATTTAAAAAGGTAAGTACAGCTTGCATCCCAGACACAAGCACTGTTTTAAAAAGGGAGCATTGTCCATGCGTCTGAGAACAGGAGCCTATTGATAAATAGCACTGCCTTTGCGGACAGAACTACGGCGCATCAAATGACTGGTTTTAATGTAAATGTGAATGGAACCGTTCCTGTTGGCTACTCAATTCAAGCTGTTCATGTTCTTAACTTGTTGCCTCCACAGATAGAAATTACTTCTATTATTAAGCAAATCCGGTTCTTAACACCAAGATGTGGTTTTCTTACATGCTCTCCCATGAGTCCTTAGAGTGTGATAAAATAAAGGAAGGTTAACACCACGTTCTCATGCTTAAAGTGACTTAAGTACTACAAACTCAGTGGATATGAAGGTAAAGTCAGATAGGAGAGATATCCTGAATCTAAGAGCAAAGCAGACCCACCCAAAATTGGGATGAGATGGGGTGATAAGTTTTTTTTATCAGTGATCTTCAATTATCCCTCAGCCCCCAAAATGGTAAAAACTGAAAACAGAGTTTAGTCAAGCTTTCTCTTGTTGAGAAGATAAAGACTACCTGGTCAATCTCCTGGGAAGTGAGCTTTCCCTATAGCTCACTCAAGTACCCACCCCTCAAGGCCTTTTCCACACAAGGAGCTGAGAAATGACTCCAGAGACCTCAAGGTCTCTGTGTCAGGTCAGGAAGTGTGGTTGATAACCCTTGTTTAATAAAGGAAACCATAACAAGTTTTAAAAAGAAGAAAAAAAAAAAATCTAACAACTGCATTGGTAGGGTGAGGATTTGGAGAGTGGGGGTGGGAAAGGGGCAATCGGACCATGATCACAAAATCCACCACTGCAGTATCACAGGGGAAGTAGACACAGGACTGCTTCCCTAGATGGTGTGGATTAAAAATGCACTACCGTAACCCTAGAACTAAGAGACAGCTGTTAGATATACCTCAGGCACGAGCAGAGGTCTGGAAAAAGGCCGGAATTCGAGATACAGAACACCATATTTTCATGAGTGCTTAATAAAAACAGCAATGTTAACATGTAACCATAATTTACACAAATACTTGGCATTCTGGAGCTAGTTTTGTTACTTCTGAATGGTCAAAGCCCTCCAACTGAACCACTTGTGATTTGTCAATTATTCCATCGCAAATGCAGGCTATCTGGAGCAGTCTTTAAATTTGAGATCACATTGTTTAAAAAATATATTTTTTTATACCATCCAGTACTCTTAAAAGACAGATGAGAGAGTCAAGTTCCCACGTAGGTTGGAACATACTTCATGTAAGACTGATTTTAATTATATTTCAGCACTTTCATAGAAGGACTGTCCCAGATCTGTGTCAACTGTTCAATGTTGTATTCACTTCACAGTGTATCAAGCACCAGCGTTGCCATGGATTGGTTTCAAATAACCCTTTATATATAATTTTATATTTATATATATAGTTATATCAAAACTGATAGTACAGAGTATAGCTGGAAGAAAGAACTAAATTTAAGAGGATATGCTGACAGGATGGAGTCTGTGAACACAATAAATAAAAGTTCCCTCCCCCCTCCCAACAAAACAGAAACAGAAAACCAGTTGTAATGTACATGGAAAATTGTGCACAGCAGATTTTTTTTATATAAAAAGTAGATTCAGGAGCACATCCAATTATAAATGATTGTTAGGAAAATCATATAAAACAATGGAATACATAAAAGTGTCAAGAGTAACTGTCAGGGTACGAAATTCCTTGGTAGCCAGATGCCCACGGCAAGCAGAACCTTTCCTGGTAGCATCACTACAAGGTCGTCCACAGAAGACTCTCCAGGGCGCAAGCAGCATGGGCAGGTGGAGGGTTTGAATCTCATACCCTGATTCATAGTTTCACAATTCCATGTGCAATTTCAGAAAGATTCATCATTTACTGCTGACATGTCGCCCTTTGGCGTGGAGGAGCGGGAGGAGCCTTTGTCTGTGCTCTCTGACCCCGAGCTGCTCTGGTTCTGCTGTTCTGACCCTGCACTGGAGGTCACTGTGGAGGAGGATGTAGAGGAGGAGCGAGTCTTTTCCTTAAAGTCTGTGATAATGACGGTGACGTTGCCCACAGTTACTGCCAACTGCTGTGCGGTGCTCCTGTCCACATTCTTCAGCCGGGGCCTGAAACATGCCAAGGGAGCCACTTAAGTGACAGCATCCACACAAGCCCACAGTCCTAAGCTGCCCATCAGCTGTACTGACCACTTTGCAATAAAAGAAATGAGCATTGGCCAGAATAAGTTTTGACTGTGGATGATGAACCACCTGGCGATGATCTAAAAGGTCAGTAGCCTTGCCTCTAGCGCCTCCTTCCCTCTTCCTCAGCCTAAAGTCTGTAAGTATGCAGAAACCCTGGGGCTTTTGACTATGATTAAAATCAACATTGCTTAGTATTTCCCTCCAGTTTCATCATACCTTGAGGTGTGATTCGTTTCGCTGGTCTTTGTTGTAGCGTTAGCAGACTGTATACTGTTAGCTTCACTAGGAGGATCTTTCAGAATATCAGACTTTGGTCTAAATGGTAAAGCAAAGAACCGAAAAAAAAAATAAAAATAAATTATCACTTAAAAATCTCTGACCCAATTGCAAAATAATATGCTGTATGTAGTAGCCAGAAACTTACTTTGTTTTCTTGTTGGTGTTTTTCTTGGTGACACTGGGGCTAATGTCCTTGTCTTTCTCAGGTTTCTCTTTGTCGGGCTTTTCCACCTTCTCCTTCTTCTCCTTCTTAGGGGGAGGTGGAGTGGCATACTGCTGTGCCACCTGCTGTGCCACCAGCTGAGAATTGATGCGAGGTTTCCTACAACATTCAACACAAGACACAGCATTAGCCACTGCGAGCAGTCTCATAATAATTTTGTTATGGCAACTGCCCATTATTCCATTGTTTCAATGTTGTGTGTGATACACACACCCACACACACCCCTTTCAAAACACCACATGCACTTGTGGTGCACATCACAGAGCCATATGAAACCATCTTACATAGTAAGTTTAGAGGACTGCTAAAAACCGCTTCTTTTGAGCTGTCACGATTATACTGACAGCTTTCAAATACTTCTGCTGCAGAGGACTAATCTCGTTTTATTAAATGGACACTGGTAATCCCTTGAAAAGAGAATGAAATTAGAAGTGTGACATTCACTCCTCAATCTAATTATTCCAAATAGGGCCTGCTCCCCTGCAGCTGTGATTGGCATGAACAACACATACAGGGCAATAAAAGGTAACTGTGGTTCATACAAACTCCCAAGGGGATGAAGTCACTGTGAAAAAGACCACAGACAAGTGATACATTGACTGTGCTGTAATAGTCATGTCTGCGCCAATCTCCAACTGACACAGGCTCTCTCATCACTACTGTGTGTAGCTTCTTTCTAAATTGTGGCAGGACCATTTACAGAACCAACTCCGGGCGGGGGGGATGCTAGCCAATGTTTCTACACACAGAAGACCCTCTTCTGCGGCCACATAGTAGATCTCATAAGGGAGGTAGTTCCCGAGCTATGACAAGGCAAGTGGCTCACCCAGCATGAGAACACAGGGCAAGGGGATGGCTTGTGTTCAGGCAGAGATTTTACCACTATTGACCAACAGAGGAAACTGTGCTAGTGAAGCTTGGGTGAGAGAGGACACCTGTTAACACTAATAGAAAAACTTCCTGACTAGACATTCAAGAAGAATCTATGGTCCAAAGCCCAACATTCAAATGGATTCTTAGTAAAGTGAAGCAAATGGCTGCTACAACACAAACAAGCTGACCAGATAAAAAGTCCCAAGCAGAGGACCTGGAACAGCACAGGCCTTGAAAGTACTGCCTCCTCAATTTGTTCCAATATTTCCTCATGCAGCAATATTCATATTGTTAAGCAAGCATACTTGGAGAACCCTGTGAAAAGAGGTGACGTAGAGGACAAGGAATATAGAATAAAGGGGACAGATGCTTATAATTCCAGTAAAAGACAATCACCAAGAGAATGTTTACTGTCAGCCTCCAACAATACAGGTCTCGATCGTGAAACCAGTTACCCGAAAGTACAGTTCTATGTGAAGGATTAAGTCAGTGTTGCTCAGCCTTCCTAGTGCTGCCACCTTTTAATACAGTTCATGTTAGGGTGAACCCCAAACATAAAATTATTTTCATTGCTATCTCACAATTGTAATTTTGCTAGCGTTATGAACCATAATATAAAAATCCGATATACATCCCCTATGATAAGGTTGTCTGACAACCCCAAAAGGGTCATGACCCACAGGCTGAGAACCACTATGAATGTACTGAGTCTAAGCCCTTGCCTTCAAACACCCAAAGCTTCATCTTTAGGTGAAATGGTGCTGCCCGTTAACAACAAAGC